ACCAGTCAGTCTTTTGTTTTGTAGACTCCAAATTTGTTTTTGAGGTGTGGGGGGAGGGTAGGAGGGGCCGAAGGAAGGGGAGAGAGAGAATCCTATGCAGGCTCCACGCCTAGTGTGTAGCCCCTAGTCGGGGGCTTGATCTCACAACCCTGAGATCATCATCTCAGTTGGACGTGCTCAACCGACTGAGCCACCCAGGAGCCCCTAGACCCCAGATTTCTTGTGAGCAGGGACTGTTCACTGGAAACAGAATACTAAAAGGAAAAGATACATATATTGACTTCCAAGTAGGAACCACATATACAAAATTAAACTACACACCTCCATAGACCTTTGTTTAAATGGAAATGTGTTCTGTGCTCAGCGGGATCTTAAGAAAAACATGGGCTTTAAAAAAAAAAAAATCTCTGGTCCCCGCCCCAGGGTGTGGCCCATGGTAGATGCCCAATAAGTGCATGTTGAATAAAAAAAATAGCATAAAAGAAAGCATTTAAGGCAAGCCTCAACATCTTGCCAAAAATCCATCTTTTATCATAAACATACAAATAAGCCCACAGATAGGGTAGATGTCAATCAAATTTTGAGGCAAACGAAGCCAGTGTGGGAGAGTGTGGATTCAAGTTTCAGCGAGGGAGGAAGAGAAGTTGCACCTAGGGCAGGGTCTTGGGCCCCCGCGAGCGGGCAAGAGGAGGCGGGGAGAGGGGAAGGGGGAGGAGACTCTGGCGTCCCTGCCCCGCCTCCCCCACCCCCCCCCCCACCCCCCCCCCCCAGGGGCTGCGGCGGCCGCGGCGGCGGCGGCGGCGCAGGGCAGCCGCGCAAGTGTCGGCAGCAGCTGCAGCGGCCCCCGGGGCGAGCCCGAGCACGGTCGGCGGCTCGCCGCGCGGCGGCCGGGAGAGACGGGAAAGTTGCCGGCGCGAGCGCAGACATGCCGGGCAGCGACACGGCGCTCACCGTGGACCGGACCTATTCCGACCCGGGCCGGCACCACCGCTGCAAGAGCCGGGTGAGAGGCGCAGGCGGGGCGGCGGTGGGGGGGCCGCCGGGCCGAGGGGCGAGGCCGGGTGGGCTTTGGCTCCGGTGTTCGCCAACTCTCGCTGCCCGTCTCTCGCCGCCTGCCTCTCTCCCTCCCCGGGTCCCTCCCGCCACGGGTCCGCGCCGAGGGGGCTGGGGAGGGGGTGGGGGGCGTCGGAGGCCGGGTCGGGGCCAGAGCCGAGCTCGGCCCGCCGGACCCCGCCCTCCGCCGCCGCCGGGTTCCCCGCGCGCCTGCTGGACCCGGGCGCCCGGGGTCCCCGACGGCCCGGCGCTCCGCCACCCTCCGCCAGGGAGCGCCCGCCGCGCGGTGCCCGGACGCGAGGGAATCCCGCCAGCCGTGGCCCCGGTGGGACTGCGCGCTCGCCCTCCTGACCTCGCGTGCTGCCCGCGCCTCCGCAGCCCTCGGGGTTTCGGGCGCGGGCCGGCGGCGGACGGGCTTCCCGGTCTCGCGCGGCGGCTGCCCCGGCTCTGCCCGAGCGGAAAGTCAGCCTTCGCGCGGCAGCCCTGGAGTTGCCAGCCGTGCCGAGCGGGCGCCCTCTCCATTGTTTGCAGTGTAATTTGCCGTTGCTGATTTTGGCTGTGGGCGAAAATAGCTCTTCAGAGCAAGCAGCAGAGACGGGCCCTGTAGTGCTTCAAAATAAAGACGGAGGCCGCAGCCTGGGCGCCGGTCCCTCCCGGGAGCGGAGGCCCCCGCCGGCTCGGGGGTCCCTTTGCCTTCCTGGGCTGTTCAGTCCCTCGGCGGATTGAAGTGCCTTTGAGAAGCAGTACGTCCTCCACCCTGGAACTTGTTCTGGCGAAGCTACCTGGAGGTGCTCTTTGCTAACTACTCGCTTGCTCGAGATCTCAGCATTTGAGTGTCAGCTTCCCGGTATAAAGTTCACAGCTAGAGTTTTGCGCAAATTCTGGCCTGCCGTCTCCCAAGATCCAGAGACCACTGGATGGGCAAAGTGGCAAGAGCGACAAATGCAGCTCAGCCCCTAGTGCGGGATTTGGGAGTTTAATCATAATTCGGAGAACTAATCAGTTATCCCAGAAGTGAAGTAACTAGGCCCTGTTATCCCTTTTTCCTTTAGTATCTGTTAACTGAGTTAACAGTATGGTTCAAATTTTTACAGATTAAACTTACTTGGTGGAGGTTACTGCATCCACTCCACTCTCCTCTACTCCCCAAAAGAATTCTTTTTTGCACTTTATTTTTTTATTGACCTACAGTTGACATACAATGTTATATTTAGTTTCAGGGGTGCAGAATAGTGATTCCACAAATATATACATTACAGAGTGCGCACCATAAGTTTTGCATTTTCTTTAAAAGTTTCATAACAGTTTGTTATGAAAATAACCATAAACTGCCATTTGGAAGAAAACATGGGCGAAAGATCTTTGGTTACCTACAGTTAGAAATTGTTGCTAGTTAACAGAGTTAGCGAGGAAGAAAGGTGAAGATCCTTTTCTAATGCATTTGTAATTGGAGGAGTCTATTGTTGCAGTTGACAGAAGAAATTTCAGACTTGAAAGAAGTCTGGAAGCTTGGTTTCTCTTGTCACAGTTGTGATAATCTTTGTGTAAACAATAAGATTAGTAATCTCTGAGGGATGGGTGGCTCATTGTGAGCTCATTTAGGTGATTTGGTAAGACTCATGGAACTTTGCAAAACTCTCTCTTCATAATCTGTGAAATGGTAGTGATAGAGTTCATACCTTAGCTACCTAGGTGGAAAGTGGCAAAGCAAACATGTAATTTAAACTGTAGATTTAGTTTGTCTCTGCTGGTTCTGCTAATGCTCCATTTCTATATATCCCTTTTCTGTTGAAGTACCACAACCTTACGTGAAGGGAGTTGCTTACTTTCTTTAAAATTCTACCGATGACGTTACATGTACTACCTTGTTTTGTTAGCATGGAAATACCTGATTTTGGGGGTGGGGTGGGGCAGAGGGAGAGGGAGCATCTTAAGCAGACTTCGTGTCCATCGTGGAGCCTGACCTGGGGCTGGGTCTCACGACCCTGAGATCATGACCTGAGCTGAAATCAAGAGTCGGATGCTTAACTGACTGAGCCACCTAGGTGCCCCGAGACACCTGATTTTTTAAACAGACTGTGTATTAAACCTGAGTTAGACATTGTATGTACTGATTATTCTAAATTAGCTTATTGGACAAATGAAATCTGGTGAGGACTAGATAAACTCAGACCAAGGAGGGCTAGAACTTTAGCAGATAGTGACTACATGTTTTGTAGCAGTGATGCTGAGATCCCTGTTTAAACTTCTTGATTGTTTGCTTTTAGGATTTTACTGTTCAGATGGCAAGGAGTAGAACTGGAGGGAATTTTGTAAACTTGTAACTTTTCTCAAGTGAGGCCGATGTAATTTTGAGTCTGTTCTTAAGGCTGCAGTAAGCCTGCTGTAATGAAGGGAAAATACCAACAATTTTCCTGTGCAGAAAGTATTTCTCCCTTCAGATGATTCTAGCTCCTGTTTTGTGGAACTCTTAGATCTAGCTATAAAGACGTACTTCTTCCTACACTCAGAAAATATGTGATGCAGAAGGAGAACATCAGGCAGTTTTCAGGTTTAATTTCTTGATGTCACCCTCCCTTTGGCGATAAACCATCTAATATAGGATTTTTTTTAAGATTTATTTATTTAATTAGAGTGAGAATGGGAGAGAGAGAGAGAGAGTACATGAGAGGGGGTACGGTTAGAGGGAGAAGCAGGCTCCTCGCCGAGCAGGGAGCCCGATGCGGGACTCGATCCTGGGACTCGATCCTGGGACTCCAGGATCATGACCTGAGCCGAAGGCAGTCGCTTAACCAACTGAGCCACCCAGGCGCCCCTCTAGTATAGTATTTTAAAAGAACACTTTTGTGGACTCGTGTGGTAAATTAGCTCACCTAAAAATACTCTAATGAGAACTGGAGGTGCTGTGCAATTTCCTCCCAGGAAGAGGCTAAGACTCCAAGAGATCAAGTTCTTGCTTACTGAATGGTCATTTTTTAAGTTCAAAATTGATACCTGTTGAGATAACAGGAAAAATACACATCTCTCTTGCTGAGTTTGGTTAAGCCTTTGAGACTAGAATAATAATGAGGCAGTGTACTATTTTAATGTTGCAGGAATCTATTTTTATTGCCAGGTGGATTAACCTAGATTCCCTCCCCTCAGTGAAAATGTAATATAACTAATGAATTCTGTGATTATCTCTTAAGCTGACAAGCCAGGATCATTCACATTTTTAAACTTCGTCAGGGTAAAACTCAGAAATGGTGCATGCTAACTCGACACACAGAATAATATCCCCTACTTTAAAAGGAAGAGCATGCATAGTTCGAATCCTACTTTTTTTTCTCATGCCCTAGATAGTTAAAGCCTGTCATCTTTTTAAGAATACAGGCAGTCCGCTTCCTATATATTAACTGGTTTTTATTAATTAGTGAATCAAATGTCTGTTCTAATTTTAAATGTTCTAAAATGGCACCTTCAGCCACCTGTGGATAATGGTCAGCAGCTGGGGCTCTCCGATCAGGTGACCTGGATCACATTCTGGCTCTTCACATTTCCCAGCCGAGTGAGCACTGGGGCAAGGTCTAACCTTCCTGAGCCTCCAGTTCCCCATCTGTAACAGAGGTGATAATAGTCCCTGCTTCTGGGAGTGATCTCGAGAGAGCATTTGTTTAAAAAAAAAAAAAAACCCAAAACAAAGAGCGGTCCTGTGCACTCAAGGTTAGATGTTTTTATCCCTGTGTAAGGTGAATACTCTTTTTCTTATTCTGTTGGTACCACTGCTAATCAGAATCGCTAGTCATCCTGAGTGCTTCCCGCCTCCTCATCTCTCATCTGTCGGCCATTCCACTGGGTCTTTCTTGGACTTTTCTCTGGACTTGGTACCTTACTCCGCATGTCCCCCAGTCATCTCCCACCTCAGTTTAGCCACGTCTGACCTCCGGAATTAGTGATGGTGCACTAGCTTCCTCACTGCTCTCTGATTTCATCAGCCCCAATCGATCCTCCCCACAAGGACCAGAGTATTCCGCCCAGAGAACCACTTTCAATGTACTAGCCCCCAGACGACAGATCTTGTACTAGTGCCCCCACGGACCCTGTAATCATTCTAAGTCTTAGTTTCCTCTTCTACACCCCAGGGGTGTTACAAGGAACAGATGCAGTAACATCTATAAAATAACACGTACCCAGAAAGAACTCAATAGATGGTAGCTGTTTTTGTTACTACTATATAAGAAGTGGTCATAAGCTTGAAAATGGGAAGACTGCTAAGCTTGTGACTAGAATAGACTTGCTTGGGCATTTTTAGCATTTTGTCCCTCTTCCATCAGATGTTCCTTATCACATTGACTGTTTACATATTTGTCACTTACATGTTTATAAACTGTAGACACTGGCACTTTGAGAACAAGAGGTTTCATTCATGCAGCAAATATTTGCTGAGCGCCTTCTCTATGCTCCCGACCACTGTAGGCATCAGGAATATAACGGTGAATGGAACAGACGGCCTGGTCTCTCTGGAAGCTTAATATCTGGTGATTGTATTTTATTTATACTTGTGGCCCCAGGAAATACCCTCCTATTTTATAGAAGGAAATGGTAATAAGCACAGAGGTCTCTAACATCTGAAGTGAAACCTGTGTTGGGCATGGTGGCTACCTGTAGTTCATCATTAAGTGTTCTGTGGTTTGGAAATAGACCTTGAATTACATGATGAGTAATGGCCAAAAGCAGTCAGGGAGAAGAGGTTGTCATAGCTCGTCTCAGAGTGGAAATGGTTGGGCAGTGATGTAATAAGTTGATGATTGCCTGCTCACTTCCTGGGGAGGCACAAGAGTGAGTGGGCACAGACCTCTGTTCCGGGGGCCCCTGACCTGGTGAAGTGGTGAGCGGAGGGCTGTGTGAGTACACTTTTAATCAGTGATCTGTTTTATTCTAAAGAGTTCATTAAAAGCACGGTGAATAATGATGAGTGTCTCAAGTCCGATTTTTGTTAAATTCCGATTGGATAGATTGGTGGGGTGTGTGTATTTTGAGCTGTGCTTTGCTACAGGCTCACCGGCTCTCCCTTCAGAGGAGAACAAACTGCCATCTGCCACCAGCACACCTGCCTGTCACATCCGCTGTTGAATACCAAGACAGCTGCTACCAAGTTGGACTGTAAGATGTGTTTCGCTTCAGACCCACGGCCTGAATTTTCAGGGCTGCTCTTAAGGTCAGAAATCATCCTGATCTTTCTGGATGGAAATTGTCCATGTCTTGACTTAGGACAGGCTGCAGCTTTCAGCCCTGCTGTTTCTTTTTTGTGTTCTTATGTTTTCAGTGGAGAGGGCTGGTTGAGCGAGATGGGATAGAACCATGAATCACTGTTCTGTGAATCAGAACGAGGACTTTACATGCCTTAGAAAAGGAACATCAGGATATATGATCCATGCATGATCCAACTGCTTCCATTGGGGGGTGGGGGTTGCTGCTTGAAGGAAAACAGTGTATTTATTGATTATTCCTCTGTAAGGAGGCAGACAGAACACCGATGAAAAGAAGAATGCAGTAACAGTGTTAACAGCCAACCTGTGCTAATTCCTTACTATAACCCAGGTGCAATACTAAGCGCTTCAGATGCACTGTCTCCTTAATCCTTATAATATCCTATTATAGCTTGATTTTTACAGATGAGGAAGTTGAGGCGTGGGCAGTTTATTTGTTCAAGGTCTTGTGGCTGTTAGGAAATGGTCGAGCTAGGATCTGGTGAACCCAGATCTAATTGCAGAACTTGCATTTTACCCACTTTGCTGGCTTCTACCTCTGAGATGAATACTGGAGAGCAGCTCAGTCTTCGTAAACCTGTTGAGGCCTTGAACACGGGTGCGGTCAACTTCTGCAGGGTGCCTAGCCAAATTGTGTGTTTGGGATTCTTACAACACAGTGCTTTGCCAGTCCTTTGTGTGTCGTCTTCTGTACCCAATAAACCTATGACGAAGAACGGTTTAGAGTGATAATTTATGAACTTTTTACAGTGCCTGTGATACAAGATTGTTGCCAGTAGTTTGGAGAGGTCCTAAAGGCTGTTAAATAAGCTCATGATTACAGAACATCAGTGAAGAACCATCTTCCAGCCTGGTATTTGGTCTCCAGAGCATGAACAGTTGAAGGACACAACAAGGCTGGTTCTTCCTGTGACAGTCCGAGTCACAGTCCGCCTCAGCAGATCTCCTAGTAGGACTTCAGCTTCCTTGGACCGAGGGCATGTGCTTCTCAATGTGTGGGGCAAAGTGCTGTGAAGTAGACTCAAAGGTTTGAACCATGTTAGAACTGAAAGGGGAATGTAGACATAAACTCCAGAACATTCCATTTGTAGAAGTAGAAAAGTGACATCCAGCCAGACTGTAACCAGTGAAATGAGGTAACTAATACAGGTAACTAATGAGGTAACTAATACTAATAATATATAAGCATTATACCAGCTTCTACCTTTTTTTTTTAAAAGATCTTATTTATTTGAGAGAGAGAGAGAGAGAGAATGAGAGACAGCACGAGAGGGAGAGAGTCAGAGGGAGAAGCAGACTCCCCGCTGAGCAGGGAGCCCAATGTGGGACTCGATCCCAGGACTCCAGGATCATGACCTGAGCCGAAGGCGGTCGCCCAACCAACTGAGCCACCCAGGCGCCCACCAGCTTCTGTCTTAAAAGAGAATTCCTTAACAGAAAACGGTTTTAAATATTTTTAGATACCAAGCTAATTGCTAAGTTATATGGGATACATATCTCAAAATTTAAGTAGAATGAGAATTTGAAATTATTTGCCATAGAGAATTAATTGATGGACAGATTTTACATTTTATGAGTTTTGTTGGTGGAGAAAAAGTGAATTTGAGTGATTCAGTGTTAGGTCATCATCCTTATGAATTTGTTTGCAGATTTTTGGTGGGACTAGGGTGAAGAGGGTGTGGCATTTCCTGTATTAGACCGCTTAGCGGCCGGAGATCTGTTGCCACTAGTAAAGATTATCTTTTCTGATTTTATTGTTGTTTTTTTCCCTGAAATAAAGTTTTGCAAAATGAGTTCATCTTTGTCTTTACCTTCTACATGTTGGGATAAGATATTGCGGAAAAAACATGAGCCAGGTGCATCAGTCATGGAGTACATTACACATACACACACACACACACACACACACACACACACACACACACACACACATTTTCTCTCTCTCTCTCTCTCTCTCTCTCTCTCTCTCTCTCTCTCTCTCTAACTTAGAATTCAAACCTGGTGTTTGTTGCCCCCAAAGCTTTCTGTTCCTGTGAGACCCTCATTGAGGGCATCTTCCAGCACCAAGTGTTTTTAGCATATGTAATTTTCATGCAACACCCCAGAAACATCGTCTGGTTCTTTGCCACAGAAACAGTCATCTGCCCCAGCGCTGGGGGAAGACAGGGATATAGGATCCATTGGCACATTAGTGCCAGTCCCCAGTGACGTGCCTCCCTGAGGGAGGCTTCTACAGCCAGGGAGTAAGGTGTGGCTTTAGCACGTAATAAAAGGCATCTCTACTTAGATGTTCCGCAGGTACCTCAAAGTCTACATGCCAGACTTCATTCATTCTCTCAGATCCCCCCACTCCCCTGCCTGGAGCCTGGAATACTTTCCCTGTTCAGCATAGTCCCAAACCAGAGGTCTGGGAAGCTCCCTCAGCGCCCCCCCCCTTACCCATCACATCCGGGGGTTTACCTCTTAGGGTTCCTCAACCACCTTTGCCTCTCTATCCCCAGCCTCACTTTCTTAGTTAAAACTTATGGATTTGAGGACGATGAAGGGTTAAGAGTATGGACTCTGGAGTCAGACTTGATTGTCCGCCTCTCCACTCAGCAGCCCTGTGAACAAGCGTGAGAAGTGGTGTGAGGAAACCCATTACAGCAGCTGTTGTTCTGACGTTGAGTCACTCGTGTCTGCCACAGAGATCCCCAAACTTCAGTCATTCCCACACCTACGCATAGCTTCCTACCGCCTGTACGATGATTTACTTAATATTTCCAAAGCCATTCACTCCTTCAAAATTAAATTTATTTTTAAAGTATCAACGTTCCCATTGTAGTTAATATTGCCTGAGCCCCCGAGGGCTTGCAGTGCGAGATTACAAGGATGAGCCTCTGCGGGAGCACCCGTAGAGAGCTGCTGGCCCTGAACAGAGACTTTTCTCCCGGCCCAATCACCTGCATGGCCTTGCGGGTGGTTTTCAAGGGACTCACTGGCTCACTGTGATTCTCTGTTACTGCTTTCGCTTTACGCCACTGAAAATAGTTCAGAATCATTTTGGAAAACACTGGGTGTTTGTATTGTATCATCTCTCCTCATCCTTTTAGAAATACTTCTTTTAGACCCACGACTTAGAGAAGATGCTTAGAAGTATATTTTTCATGGATTGTGAAAATTGGAGTGTGTGGAGATGAACAGAAGCTCCACTCTGGGGATTTGAAGGCAGCCTTGTCCGGGTAGGAATATGTGGAAGAGGTTGGGAAAAGGGGAAATTGTACCTGTTCCGGGCCAGATCTCCCATCTTCTCATGACCTGAGAGAAACTGAGGACATGGAAGGCCTTAGGCAAAAGAGTGCAATGTCAGGAAATAAGGACTCTGGGAATTTCAGGCAAGGACAGAAAGTGGGTGGAAAAGAAATTTCAGCTCTGTGTGGTTCTGAAGTAAACTTGCATTTAATTAAGATGAGTATGTAGGCTTGTTGTAAGGAAATTAAATGGTGCCTTGAGCTGCAGCCTTCCACAGAAATTTTGAGATAAGTTCTTGTCCAAAAATAAAGTATGCCCTTAGTGAAAGCTACGCTTTAGCACCTCAACACATTTACTTCAGTGTGTGCAACTGTGTGTTGGGGCCAGTAGTCCCTTTTTCCCGTCTTTGTGAAGATACTGTGATAATCCAGAAGGTGTGGAACTCAATTTCAGATAGTCAGTGGTGTACTATTTTAATCTCACTAATTGGAACAGGTGGCCTGTATTTGAGACTGAATCTCTCGTTGGCATAGATTTTAATTTATCTGAAAATCTGAGGCCCATTCCGTAAGGCTGTGTATTGGCATCAGGCAAGTGCTTGAAAGCTTCAACCATTAAAAGCACAGAAGGCTGAGAGGAAGATCGAAGAAATGGAGCTTAATAGTTTGCTGCTTTGATTCACCTCTTAACTGTTGGGTGTGGAGCTAGTCGGGAACATGGCGGAGTGAAGCATGTCCAGATGCTTGAGAAGGCTACTTATAAGTATTTCTCCAGATGAAGACAGTGTCTGAGTATCTCCTTTGAATCCATCCCACAAAATGGCAGGGTTGAAGAGGACTTCATGCAGTCCTCATGTTTTTATAAGAATTAGCACATCTTCAGGCGTGAGCTGAAGGGGTATGCCAGAGTGACTCAGCTTACCACAAGCATTCAAGTTGAGATACTTTGAAATACCTCTAATGAAATCGGAGATGGTCTCCAGATTATGAACTTCTTCAACTGGACCACTCCTTTTTTTTTTTTTTTTTTAACAGTAAATGTGTGCTTTGCAAGATGTCTTGTGAATATCTTGCATCCTTCCAGAGGACAGAATCCCGGTTTTTTCCTCTGACACCCAGAGTCTCTCATCTGACCTTTGTCTTTCACCCAGTCTCAGCCCTCAGACTCTGGCTTCCTTCTTTGTGGTTTCCCCTGGCTCCCCTCTGTGCCTGTGGGCACCTGCTCCATTCTTTCACACGGGGGGATGATTGTGTTCATTTATCTACATGTGGATCCTGGTCCATGGCTGGGGCTTTGTTAATACTGACAGAATGAGGGAATGTGGGTATGTTGTAAAATTGCACTTTCTTGAGAAGCTGGAAAACATTCTACTCTTGAGTCATATTAGTGCAGATTAATCTACCTTATTTTAAGATTGCTGTACAGGATTCCAGGTTATGGGTATTCCATAATCTGTCTAATTATTACCTTGTTAAAGGACACGTATATTGCTTCTAGACTTTTGGTTTTACAGGCACTTCAGTGACTGCCCTTGCACATGCTTCTTTTTGCACATGTGAAGAATATGGTAGTAGGCTAAGTTCTTAAAAGTGGAATTGTTCCTTAAGAGTGTGTGTATTTTGGGGCACCTGGGTGGCTCAGTTGATTAAGCATCTGCCTTCAGCTCAGGTCATGATCCCAGGGTCCTGGGATCGAGCCCCGCGTCGGTTTCCCTGCTTGGCAGGAGGCCTGCTCTCTCTCCCTCTGCTCCTGCTTGTGTTCCTTCTCTCGCTGTCTCTCTCTCTCTGTCAAATAAAGAAATAAAAATCTTAAAAAAAAAGTGTGTATTTTAAGTTACGATATTGCCAAATTGAATACTATACCTACTCTGTCCAACACTAGGAGGTGGGGGGGGTGCAGCAGTGAATATATATAAACTGATATACTGTTTATATAACCATCAGTATGTGAACATGCCTCAACTCACATCTTTCTGACACAGTGTATTACAAAACTTTTTGATTCTTGCCCATCTTATAGGTGAAAACTGGTAGCTCATTTTAATTAATATTTTTCCTGATACAAATGAGGTTAATCATATTTTAAAGTTTTTATCTTGAAATAATCACAGACCCCCAGAAGGTTGCAAAAAATGGTTTAGAGATGTCCATGTATCCCTCCCCCAGATGCTCCCAATGGTTACATCTTATGTAACTTAGTACAAAAGGTTGATCATATGTTCACATACTTAAACATTTGGGTTGTGAACTGTTAATATATTCTGGCCATTTGTCTAGTGGGTTATTAATCTTTTAAGTTGTTTTGTAGAAGTTTTTTACTTATTAAATAAGTTGTATTGCACATATATCTTCTCCAGTTCATCATTCCTGACTGTATTTTCTACTGTTCTATAGGAAATTGCCATAGATTAGCAACATGAAACACCCCTGTTTATCTAATCTCATGGTTTCCATGGGTCAGGGATCTAGGTACAGCTTAACTGCGACAGGATCTGGTTCATATTTATTCAGTGTTAGCTGTATGCATCCTCTGCTCAGAGTTTCATCAGCCTGAAATCAAGGTGTCAGCCAGGACTACAGTCTAGTCTGAGACTTGCAATCCTTTTCCAAACTCACTGGTTGTGTATGGAATTAAGATTGTTGCAGCTGTAAAACAGCCCCTCAGCCCAGAAGCTGCCCACTGTTCCCTGCCACTTGACTCTCTCAAAATGTGGTTGTTTCTTCAAGACCAACAGGAGAGCCCCCAACTCTGTTGCATTTTGTCTCTTCTAGACCCTCTCTTTTTTTTTTTAAGATTTTATTTATTTTGACAGAGAGAGACAGTGAGACAGCAAGAGAGGGAACACAAGCAAGGGGAGGGGGAGAGGGAGAAGCAGGCTTCCCGCCGAGCAGGGAGCCCGATGCGGGGCTCGTTCCCAGGACCCCGGGATCATGACCTGAGCTGAAGGCAGACGCGTAACAACTGAGCCACCCAGGCGCCCCTAGACCCTCTCTTAAAGGGTTTACCTGA